TGGAATTTCATGTATATTTTACTTTGGAAATAAAACTAGTTCCAAACATAAGTGCATGGACAATTTAAAACTGATATACTTCAATTATTAGTTTATATCTTATTATTCTACATCTTAAGAAGTGATTTAGAAATTGTTGTTGATTAATAAAAGAAATTTCACCAAATTTCAAGTTATTAAGAGAATAAGGTATTCCACAGGAGTAAATTTTCCAGGTAAAGGAAACTCAATAAATTTCTAATATATTAACTGTTAACTGATGGAGGAAATTTTTAAAAAATTCAACATACTGATATCCCTGATTTTCTAAACCAAGAAAATTGGATATAATTCCACAGTTTCTCAAGGGATATCTGAGGGATTTGATAATCTTCTAACCACTTATATCTGTTTTTCCATTTCTCTATTTTTCTATCTGCATCTGAAAACTTCCCAGAGATAATACTAATGATAGGTTTGAGAATATAAAAACTTTTCAATTTGGCAATGCAACCATCTTCACAGTATACTGTTAAGATTTGAGTCTTATTGTTTTATTAGCAGTTTCCTTGGCTTTCCATTTTAAAGATCAGTCAAAACACCATAGAAAATCCTTTGAAAACTCAGTTTCTCCCTTTTGAATCTTACAGAGAAAAGGTGAAATGAATGCTTCCATTTAAAGCATGCTTTCATTTAAATACTTTTGAGAAAGCCTGGACTACAAGTTGACTAATATCAGGGAAACTAGTTGAATGCTGTTGATGTGTTTAGCATTTTGCTGGCTACAATTTTATTGAGATGTAAATTTCAAGCTCTTAATACTTACTATTTAAATTGATCATAATTTACCCAGGAAAATAGAAAAAACATGTTACTATAAATAATTTTAAAATATTTGATTAAAAGCATAGGCTGAAGATGACAATTATATCTATGTCTATTATCTACAGCTATATACAAATTCACAGTTCATAATTAATTACAGTCTGTAGGGTACAAATAGTGAGGCAGCAACTTTAATTAGATGAATACATTAATAAAAATTAATAAAATAAAAATGAATACTTTGTTACATAAGATTTAATATTGTCTATTATACTTACTATATTATGTAAAGACTGATGTACTATTCGTTTAATTTTGTGCCTATAGGTTAGCAAGCAGAACTCTTCGAAAAGAAAGAGACTAGGAAAAGCCCATAAAAGCAGATGAACACAGCTGTACAGTAAAATTACTTGGAGAGCTTTTAATTTTTTTCATAGAACCTTCTCACTCAAGATTCTGATTTACTCATTTTTTAAAAAATCTCAGTTAATTAAAAAATTTGGCTGGGGTTGACCGCTATCACATGAAAAAAGATGCTGATAAAAATTGTCTTGTGTCTATACCTTTGACATTTAAAATACTTTAGTACTATTAACAAAATAACAATAATCAAAATAGAAACTATTTTAAATAATATTGCATTGAATTTAGAAAATAGGGCAAATAAGAAAAATACATGATATGGGGGCTTACAGAGAGAATGGTGAACTTCAATCTACCTTATATAAAATAAAATATTATGAATTTAATAGTTCCATGTAAATGTGACACTTTTATAATAGCAGGTAGCCAATTTTCTGGGTGAGGTTATATTTTTTATAGGACCACTTTCTTAAAATATTGAAGAGATCTACATTAGCAATACAATACTCCACCCTCCATATTTTAGGGTATTTTTATGCTTTTCCTGTTAGCCTACAGCTTTATATTTTAAAGAGAAGTTTAAGAAACTAACAACTCTTAAAATTGCTATTACAAAATATCATTTTATACCCCAATGTATAAAAGCCACATTCACAAAAAATTCAATTCTTGTAAGCAAAGATGTAATAGAGTATAAAAAACACAATTTTCAGATCAAATATATTTAAATTATTTTAATAAGTACAAAAAATATGTTTAGCATTAATTTGCATGTGATTAGTTAGGAATTTTTTAAACAGCAAGCATGACATATTCAATGAAGGTCATATGAGAAACTAGTGGCTTTTCCCAATTACAACAAGGTCATAGTTACAAATATTGTTAGTCCTTGAGTTATTTTCTTGAAACAGGAAAACTACCATATAAGTATACTGTCACCCAGAAAATTTCAAATTTTATATAATGTGAATCAAAGTTTAGCATTGGAGTTTCCTCACATTCTCTATACATGTGATTGCATTATTAATTTGCAGCAAGGGGAAAATTTTTCATTCCTTTTATTTTATGTTCAAATTTAGTAATAAATATGACACTTTAAAAAGTTTTCACCCACATCACGTCTACTGGAAACATTTCATGAAAGGTGATGTTCCTCAATTTGAAGGACACCAAAACCTGAATTTGTATCTGCTCAGGAAAATCTTGAAAATGAATAGGACACCAACAATCTTAAAATCAAGTGTAGTGCAGGCACCCAAGGTTAACAAGCAATCAGGACTTATCTGTAAATGGCAAAGTTTAATTCATGAAAATTTTGGCTCAATAATTGAGTTCTATGTCTTTCTAATTATATACTACACCTTTTTACACATTATGCTAAATTCAAAGCACAGCCAATTGCTTCAACATAGTCGTTAAAAATAAATTGTGAACAATCTATAACTAATATTTATTTCTAAAGTAATTCTGCAATTTCCTGCTTGCTTTCTTAGCATTAGTGTTTTTACAAATAAACTTTGTTGAAAATATTCATATATAGCCAACAATATATATTTGTATTTTGGCATCATGTTATGGTGAATTCTTCTAAAAAGAAGCATGGAAAACTGACATTTTCAAACCTGGTAAGTTAATTAAACACTTGACAGTCCCACCAATGGCATCTATGGGGATCAATTCAGGCCTCATTCTTTTAACAGTAATTTACAACAAGACGTTTGATGAAATCAATAGATAATACTTGTAGTCCATCCCTTTAAGTTCAACAATATGGCAAATAAAAACATATTTCTCCAACGACAAATAAAACTTACAAAACTAGAAAAAAAATAAAAGCAGTGCTTACTTTTGCTTAATCAACATTAATCATTTTTAAAACCTGATCATTACTTGTGAACCAAAAAAGAAAACTGCAATATATTCCCAGAAACTAAATTGTATCAAAGTTAGTAAATAGCTAGCATCACAAAAATGGGTACTTGCTTTCTGTATAGCACAGTTTTCTTGTCTAGTGTTTGTTTTTACTTGTTTGTTTTGTTGTATAGAGAAGCATCTATTGGCTTCCTTATTGCATGGATATTCCCTAAAAGGCATACATATAAATATGAATTAAAGCAAAGAAAAGAAAAATACAGATTTTTTTTTTTTACTTTTCTTATAGTACATGTAAACTAGTATGTTGACGTACTATATAGAAATTCTAGATTTCCAGAACTTCAAGAATCACACAGTGATTATGGTTGTTGGTTGTTGTGAGGACTGAATAACTAATATGTATAAAAAGCTTAGAACATTGACTAGCATGTGATGGGCTTTCTAATAATTATACTCTAATAACTATATATCATTGCAATTCAAAATGTAAGGTATAAAACAAACAAGTATTAAATATAGATGACTTTGTATTTGTAAATAACCAGATGTTTAACTTTTAAAATGGCTTACATAAGCCTCCATTGAGAAACTTAGCATTCAAAGATGTTTCTATTCTATTTCACAAAGCAGAATTGCGAGATCATTTTGAATTTTATCTTTAAAAAAAAACTAGAAATACATTGGAAAAATGTTTACAGAAACATAGAAAAGATATTTTTAATCATATGCATACCTCAAACCTAATTCTAATTAATAAGTTTGTTATAGATTTACTGAAAAAGTTATTCTATTGGTCAAGTTAATTGTTAGTTTAATAAGAACTGAATTTGTGATTGGATCCATTAATAAAACAAATTTTTTTAGATTTCATAAATTTATTCAAATTTCTCAAAATATTCTTTCATACATACCTGGGAATTACACACATACACACTCACAAACATACATACATCACTGACACATACAGCTAAGACCTTATTAAAAGATCTTTGGGAACATTACTGTAAGCTGAAACATAAATCTGTTAATTGTTCTTTCCTATTGGCAATATTAGGTATTGTTATGTATTAAATACATCATCAAGTAGTTTGAGGTGGGATGTATAGTTACCAGTACACATTGTTCTTCATATATAAACAAACAAAAATAGAATATTTCAACTAAACAAGATAGAAGACACAGTGGTCTATATATGTTGATAATTAAGAATTTTAGCAAAAAACAAAGGTACGATATATAATATTTACAAGTAGATGTTGAATAAGTTATTACCTTCCCAAATGCCTTTCACATGAACTTTCTCTACTTCAGTATTTTAGTTATGATGCTTATCGCAATAGAATAATAACTCTTAAAATATTTGTGTGTCTACATATGTATAATTTATCTAAAATAGAATAAAGACTCTTAAAATATTTGTGTGTCTACATATGTATAATTTATCTACTTTCTCAGAAGTTTAAAAAGGAAAATATGCTTCACTTGGTTTAATAAGCAACAGCCTCACATTTCCTGTGGGTTCTTCTCTCCAATAATCTGAGCTTTTAAATACAGATGGAAAATATTAATATATTTAATATAAATTTTAATAGCAAAATATGAATATTAAATAATTACATTAAATATTTACTTTCATTTTTAAAGCATGAATTCAGTAAATAAAACTATAACTTCTGGTTCACTCTATTACAAGTGGTTTTAATATAGTATCCATGTTTCTTAACCATTCAGATGTCAAAAATAACTGCATCCCTTCCCAGTTAAAATTTTACACTTCTGCATACTTTGAACTAATAAAGGGGAAGCACGAGGTGCCTATGGGACCTCAATTAAATGGAAAATATATGGCACTATAGGGCAGCAATGGGCCAGGTACTAATTCACTTAAAATTCTGAATCTTTTCACGTAATAAAAATTTTGGCCATTGCTTCAAAAATATCCAGGTGAATTTAGGTGAGCCAGGAGACTAATAACACAAATAATCTGTTTAGTAATCTATTAACATGATTTTGGATTTCCAAGTAAGTAAATAAATATGTCTATGTTTCACAGACATGTGTCTGAGGGTATTGGGCATAAAATACATTAAACAATTTTTTTTTGTCATGCTGAAGAACCATGACAATGCAGAAGGTGACTTGAGCTATTTCCTTTATTCTTTCATTGGAATGATGACAGGCCATGCCAAAGTAAAGTACCTCTAAAACTTTGGTGCTCTTCTAGAATCCATGATTATGTCATGGCAGGATTCCTGTCCCTCAACCAGAAATTCCAAAAGAGCCACATAAATGCAATCATATATCTATCTGCCCCCAGATATATTTACCAAAGTATACTTACCAAAAAAATGACAGTGAAATCATAGCTTCTGTGTTGTTGTTAAAAACAAACTATGAACTATTTAAGAAAAAAATTTAGAAACACAGCTCAAGGAGACCACTTATCCAAATCTGAGATCAATTCAAAACAAAGAAATCCCTGAATAGATTTCTAAACCTTAAGATCGACACTTAATAAAATCACAAAAGTTTTTAAAAATTTTTTAAATGGTTCTATTTGTTCCATTTCATAATAAGACATATAGGAACATGTAAAGGAGAAAAAACAGCTACCACCTTAGCACACTAGTGATATCATAGCTCATTAAAGAACTCCGAGTACTTAGTTAATTTAAATGTTTTATATAGTCTTTAATTTCATGTCATTAAAAGAATGAGATGTACTTAAAATTTCAACTAAATTCAGTGGATGTTACATGAGTGATATTAACACCAATTTCAGGGCATGGCAAAGGAGGTAAAAATATTTTTGAATAAATATTACTTGAATCAGAGTAGTAGCTATAAAATAATGAGATTAAACTTATATGTATGTACATATATTTATCTACATTTTGTACATATCATAACACTTTATGTGATTATATAACTGCATAAAATAGGTATAATCTTATGGACGAAAGAGATCAGTGTTAGTATATGTAAAATGTATTTCCTGAAAAATTGGTCTTATTGTGATAAATTAACATTCTTTTAATTTGTTTTTAAATTGGTTCATGGAAAGGAGAATAATTGTTGAAAATCTTGTTCTATAATTTAAAAGCAATTTCCATGAAGCATCTCTCGTGAAATTACAGAGAGTTCTGATCCATATTACTGAAAAATCTAAACTGTCAGAATGTCATCGCACTCAAATAAAATTTTAACAACTGAAATTAAAAATAAGAATAACAATAATATGTTTCCTGGTCAATCTTCCATAAATGCTAACAAAACTAGTGCCATCAACATAATAGCAGCTCTTTGCCTAAAGTATAGATGAGTTTTTTATGTGGTCATACAGAAACTGTTATTTACAATGATTTTTACATATTCACATATTTATAAATTTATAATTCATAGTCAGACATTAAAGAGGCAGTGTGGACTTTACAAGAAAAATACTTTAAACGTGTCTAATAATGCATACCACATAAAGCAATTTCATTGCTTACTTTCAAGCGTTGCGTACTTTCTCAGACAATTTCAAACATCTCTAAACTACACAGAAGAGCTATGCTGTATTTAAATGTATAGTAGGATATCTTCTGTTTCAGTATATAAAGTGCACATTTTAAAACTAGGTGACAAAGAAGGTGTTACTGGAAGGGAATTAAAGAAATACATTTATTGGCTCATATAACAATTTTATTTTATTAAGGATTATGGATTACCTTTTGAGAGGGAATTTTTAATGCCAAGGCTGTCTTCTTGGCAAATTCTGTTAATAAGATGCATTTGTGAACTTGGTATTATACAATCATGCAAAACATATAATAGAATCACATTGAAACAAAGGAAATTTAAAAAAATTAAATGAGGCAAAGGAATAGCAATTTTGTTGAGATTTTGCTTATTTCCATAGATATTCCTTTTATTGATTTTATGAACATACCTGTTTATGCACTATATTCAAATACTGTACAAAACTGCAAGAAATGTCACTATTTGACTACTTATGTTTCTACAAAAACACCATTGTAAAGGTGCATCTAATAGTAAAAGTCAACTAATAACTGCTAATGTTTATGTCAATGAAAAGTATTTGAGGTTTGCCAAAAACTTTGAATCTAGGCATATACACAATTTTTAACTTTTATTAGCATATTTTAGGGGTGTAAATAATATTTAAAAATATTAAAAGAAAAATGAATTTTACCCATTAATAGTAATTATATAAAATTTAAAATGTGGTTTCTAATTTAGCTGTGTTTGTGTGTGCATGTGTGTGTGTGCATGTGTGTGTGTTTATGTTTGTGTATGTGAAATAATCCACAATCTATTGGTGATGTTTTAAAGTTGCAGTGTAAAAATGTTCAACACTTACCAAAATCTCTTCTGGTATACAAAGCTGTTGTAAACTTGAGTCAGCGAAATTTAAAGTTGCAATTTACAAAAGCAGATTTACATTAATTCTTATCTGAAAGAACTGCTTTCACAACAGAAAAATGTGCCAATTAACTGCCCTTTCCTTTATAATTAGTGGCTTCTGAGTCTTGAAAAGAAGCCTTAAGGCAGAATTTGCAGTAAACAGGAAAGAGGAGAATCATATAAGTGCTCATCGTAGTGTGAGACACCTATGAATTCTCATCAGTGGGAGTTTTTGGCACAATTTTCCAATCCAATATGCATATTGCTCCACAGCAACCAAACTGGATGCTTTTTCCAGTGTCCAGCACCAGTAAAATTTAGCTGATCAATTTCAATACAACACATACCTGGAAAGAGTAAGACACATTTATTTTCTTTTTTTTTTAAATTAAGGTAGCTTCCAATGATTGAAATAAATTGTAGGATTTCAATTATTACTTTCAAATAAACTCTGAAGCTAAAAATGTAATGACCATGACATTCCAATAGTTATTAAATCATAGGCATAATTAACATCCTGTAGGGTGGACTCATAATTATTTGAATTTGTCATGCTGAAATATGTACATGGCTATAGATTCTATACATAGTAATTAAAAGCTGATTTCAAAACTCTAGTTTTTCTTATATGTGCCAAGCTTCCAATTACATTAGCAGGGATTCTGAGCACTCATGAAGGGAGATGATGTCGCAGATACAATGTTCTGTCACTTAGAAGAATTCATCTATGAATGACAATGTTACCTTCCATCATAACTAAGCAACAGTAGAAAATACCTTACTTAAGAGCTAAACCAAAAGGGTTCACAAAGGGTTGTACAGGATTCCCATATTCATCTCTATTAGAACGATAGGAAATAAATCAGGTCATCTGAAATTCACTTAAAATTAGGTCCAAGGGTAAATCTTGGAAAAAAGGCAATGGCTCTTTTGGCATGAAGTGCTTTCTGTCTGCAGTTCCATGAGATAGCAAATGCATGTCTCCATTAAAGGTCTACTGGTAAGCTGTATCACTATATACATACTGTACACATTGGATCACAAATTAGCAGTTATTAGTCAGACTGTACATAGCAAAACAAACGAAATTTAATGTTGCTATACATCCCAAAGATAACATGGGTCTCAATTCAAGGACTGACCCCTAATACAGGTTCTCTGTTTAAATATGTAGCCCAATAAACTAAATTAAATGTACCAAACAAAACTGGAAAAACTATTCTGGACATTCTGTCAATTTTGCTAACACTGTTAAAAGTTTTCTTGGCTTCAGCTGGCTTGTTTTCCGGCTTCTTGTTGGGTTCTGGCGTGGTTGCGCTCTTGGAGATGGTGGACAGAACTGGATCTTTTGAAAGATTCGGGGCATAATTGGCAACAGCCACTGCATAAGCATTGTTCTGTATCATAACAGAGGCCTTTTCTTTTTTCTATTGAAAAATACAAAAATTGAGAGAGTGTGGGTTGAGTCTGCTACATAACATTTTCTAAAGTCCACTTCAAATTCTGAAGGAAAGTATCCTAATACAAATCATCATGCATTCAAAAAAAAAAACAGAAATTGGGAAAATAAATAAAGGTGCTTATTAAATCCCAAATCCATTAGGGTGACAAAAACCCCAGAGTAAAATTAATGGTACTACTTTCCTGGAGAATCTTTTTGGTTGTGCTTGACATGGAAAATAAACAATAGAAAAATACAACCTTAAAAAACAATATAAAGATAGGGCATGGTGGCTCATGCCTGTAATTCTAACACTTTGTGAGGCCAAAGAGGACAGATCACCTGAGGTTGGGTGTTTGAGACCAGCCTGACCAACACAGAGGAACCCCATTTCTACTAAAAATACAAAATGAGCAAGTCATGGTGGCGCATGCCTGTAATCCCAGCTATTCGGGTGGCTGAGGGAGGAGAACTGCTTGAACCTGGGAGGCGGAGGTTGCAGTGAGCCGATATCACAACATTGCACTCCAGCCTGGGCAACAAGAGCAAAACTCTGTCTCAAAAAATAATAAACAAATAAATCAAATAATAAAACAATATAACATTTTTTACTCATGAGTCACTCAAATATTTGTCAAATGAATGACTGAATGAATAAGTGAAATGTAGAAATATTTTAACAAGAGGAATGATAATCTGCAATGAATGATCCCACATTCCTAGCTTCGAAACAGGATTCCCTCCCACCTCATGTCAAAATCATACAGCAGTGCTTTACTTAGATGATGGGAAACTGTAACCTTATGAAGATGGCAGTGCAACAAATACTAGAAACACAGAAGGAGAATAAAATACAAACTCTTGGATTTTTGCTTAGCTCATCCCGTTTCTCTTTATCATCTCCAGTTCAGTTATCACAAACTCTTGTCTATGTCACTATTATATCCTGCCTGGACTTTGTGTTCTTCTAGCTTGGCTTGACTTTGTTCAATCATTAGACACATTATGATCACAGGGATCTTTTTTAAGACAAAAATCGGATCATTAACTTCTATGCTTACATCCCTTAAATACTATTTCACAGAACTTAGAATTAAAACAACATTTTTTTTAAAATCACAGCTTCTTTCTTTTGCTCATTACATACTGGTTCCCCTGAAATAAGCTTAGTTTTCAAAATACTTTCTTGCTTTCATGCCATGCTTTTCGCCATGATAATTTCCCAGCCCAAAACACCTCAATTTTTAAAACCTGGAATACCTTCTCCCCATTTCACTTTTCACATGACCACCAATTCCTTCTCTTATTTTGGTCTTGGTTCAAACGCTGTTTTCCTAAGAAAGGACTTTCTTAAAACACATTCTAATTAAACATATATTTGGTCCCCATATATTATCATTCATAACACCCTGTTTCCATTATGACACTTTTTGAAATGTGTTATTTCTTAGTAATGTGATTATTTGATTGTCATCTTGCTTTCTCTTTCAATGAAGTCTGGTGCTGCTTCTGTCTTGTTTACCTTTGTAATCTTCGCACTTAGCATGAAGCCTTCTACAAGGTAGCCATGTCAGTGCATTAATATATAATTCATTTAACAAAATGAAAATATAAACAGTATCTGTGTTTCTTTACTAATACAAATATATTGTTAGTTATCTAAATACAATGTAAATTGAGACAGTGGTGAATTATCCAACAAAATGAGTAACGTGTAAAGCAACTGAGATAGAAGAAAAATTGTTCTACAATAAAGTTTTGACTCTTAGTTATTTTAATTAAGATTTCTTAAAGTGTTCAAATAAGTTAAGAAAGAAACTCTGAAAGCCCAGGAGAATCTAAAAACAGTCATGGATTACTCATCTTTCACTGGCTTGGTTTTCTCACTCTCCTCTTTTCCCTGCTGACATTCTTCCAGATCTAGCTTAATTATGAAAAAAGGAGGGATGTGGGATCACCATTTGTAAATTTATAAATGCTACAGAACATCTCTTCTTCAGTAATGATGCATATAGTTCCCATGTTACAAATGGAGGATAATCCTCAAGTCAAAGACTGATAAGGACATTATAGCTAACAGTTCTTGAGCACTAGAATGTGTCAGGTTAATTGTTAGCCAAGGTGAAATCTCACCGTGAGATAAGAATTAAATTCCCTTATTAATCCTATGATATAAGTTCAAAAATGAAGGCTAAAAAAGTTTTGTGATTTGATCAGTTTCCTGCCTATTAAATGGCTGAAAAAACACTCAAACTTAGATGTATTTGACTTCTAAACCTCTTCTTTTAAACACCATGCCATATGACTTTCTGTCTGAGGAAGCTGTTTGAGACTTGGGAGTATGCTTTTTCCTAAAATATCCTTGTTGAGTTTTATACCACTAGGTCAATCTTCCAAAAGGACTTTTTAACTTATAATGTATATAGGTTTCAATTTATAATTTATATAATGTTACAACTGGTTCCATGTGGTTCAAATAATAACATAATTTTTTTTCTAATGCATGTGTTTATATTATTATTTGAACCAAATTGTAACATTATTTAAAATGGTATCAAATTGCACATATAAAGAATCTGGGCCTTGAAAAAGTTTCTTAATGTTTTTCTTCAGCTTCTAACTTGACAAAACGAAGATGATGATACTAAAGGTATATCAAACTGTCCAGACAAATGGACAAATGTATTATTCCAACCACATTGAGAAACATGTATTTTCTTAGTGGAGTGCAAATCATAACTATTACAAACCAGACAGTGATTACTGGTGTACAAGATGTAAAGGCAATATAATTTATTATGTATTAGGCAGAAGAAGAAAAAATATTTTGTTGAAGAGCTCAAGGAGAGTTTTGTGAAAGTAGGACATTTATGTTATATAAAGAACTATGGTGTAGAATTTAGACATGTAGACAAAGAAATACAAAATGTAAATACCTTTTGTTGTAACAGGAGTCTACAGCTAGAAGCCCTGTAGTAATTTCAACCAACATATTCCTGTCCCTACTTGAATACCCTCCAATTGCACATATATGTCCAGCAAGTACAGGTACAAAATGTTTGAAAAACTCTAGAGCAGAGGAACTAACTAATCTGAACAGATACTCTAACCAATCAGAACTGACGTTGGCCGTAAATAACCAGAAGCAGCACATACCAGCCAAATATCCATCATGCATATTTGTATGTGGGCTTTTTTTGTTCCATGCTAACACTAACGACCCTTTAATAAGCAGGGTTAAAACTCTTTTCAAGTTATGCTTGTAATTTTTATTGACAGCATAAATAACAAAATTTGTCTTATTTTCTTCATTGTTTAAAGTATGGCTTCAATCTCTGAATCCATGTAAACTTCAGAATAGGGCTCAGAACTTAACAAGGTAGTGGTTTTGGCTTCAAAAATGCTCTCTTGTGACTTGGAAACTACCATTTTCAGGACCAAGTAAGCAAAATATAACAGCTATAAGTACTATTTTTAGTTAATAACCCAGTTATTGGCACCTGTAATTTCTTACCAATTCACTGAATGAAGGGCAGAGCACTCCTATGGTGCTACATCTTCTCAATTCCTAGCCACAACTCGGCAAAGCTTTTCTGGCTCAGAATTTTACAAAGTCTCATTTTAAAGGAAAAAATAACTCCCTCAGTCAATTTGAAAGTAATAACTACAAATCTATAGTAAAGCAAACTGTTTCTCTTTGTTTAAAATTAAAATCTTGTTTATGGAGAAAAAATACTGTTGAATTCATAGCTGACTTACAATTCTAAGATCTTCTAAAGGATAGCCTAAAGGTTAAGTCTATATACTATATATTATTAATATTCTTTATGAGATACAGACTTGATAGTGATAGTACCAAAGAATAAGCATAGCTTACCTAAACTATAATCAGGAGATATTACATTGCCCTATTCACTGTCAACTTCTATTAAAAATAACTATGTTGGGAGAAATTTCACTTTAGAGACCTCTTTGAATCTGATGCAGCTTTGGATCGAGCCAGACCATCAGCAGGCTGAATCCTCGGGCCACATGACAGATTTTACTTTATTTAGTGTAACTTTTAGCCTACACTCAGAACCTGAAGAGAAATGGCCCAACGAAACCTTTTGTGTTAAGGATTAAAAACAATATTCATTTCCATAAATGAATTTTTTAATGTTCATGTTCCTATACAACATTTTTTTGTTTCTTCTGATAACTAGAAAAATTCTGATAGTTCATACAGCCTAATTTCCTGTTGCCTAATCTAATGCTGTATTTTTACTTTAAGGCACCTAGATAGGCCACTTCCTATCATTTTCAGAATAAGGCCAGGTATAGCCAAAAATATACACATAGAAACACTGTGTTTCTGAAGTCATTTTTTTAAAAAAGATAATGTTAAAAGTTGAGAATGAGATCAGTTGGCAGGAGACTGGGGGAAAGGAAAGCAAACTGACAGTATTTTCTATTAATTGTCAGTAATTCTCATGGCTTGAGATACCTATGCATGAATGAATGACACAGCATTTCTTCAGAATTCGTAACCACTAAGTTTCACTAGACTTCTCTACCTACATATCCCACAGGTAATTAAAACAAAAATGTCTGGATATGCACTCAGTTTCCATGAACTCTCACTTCCTGCAGAAATCTGTACACTCACTTGTACTCCCTAACCTGCAACTGGTAACACAATTCAGCCAACACTGGTAATTAACTCCATATTGTCCCCTTGTTTCCTCCTTACTATTACCAGGGTAACACTGACCTAGCTTTGAGCCACATTGACTGAGACAACACTTTCTATTGCCTGCACTTAGTTGCCATTTCATGCCTTTCAGCAGGATCCTGGCACTTATGTCTGTAATAAAACATGTATGTATCTCTTTCACTCTTCTTTTGTTTTCCTTTCACTTCATTGTTAGCTCTATGAAGACACAGACTCTGTACAGAGCTCCTAGAATACCTCCTGGCTCGGAGCAGGCTCAAAAACATTTGCTTAATGATAAATGAGCGGTATGTAACTAAAATGGTTACTATGATAAAAACGTATATATAACATATAAAGCATAACTTAAGGTAATATGTTTCATAAACTATAATAAATACTTTATTAATCAATAGATACAAAATTTAATCGCTTATTCTACAATTCTGTTGTGTAAGCCTCCTGAATGTCTTCAATTTCACCATCTACAGATGTGTAACACTGGGAAATAATAAAACAGGCTTAATTTTAAAAAGCAATGCTTGTAGTAGCCATTTTACTTGTGATTTAGACCTCATATTAGAATGTGAAGATTTGATTTGTAAACAAAATAAAAAGTATGTATTTTTATATACTATCTGGGTGGAGGAAGAATTAAACTATGCTGTTTTATAGTTTATTGACTGTTCAGCTGTCGATGAAGTGGAATAAAAAGGAAATATAATCCACACAAATTTATTTCCCATTTTTAAATGATGTTTAATAGACTTAATTTTGAGGGTATTACTTTACTGAGAGGTCTTTTGGATATATATTTAAAATATCAAGTCTAGAAAAATCCAGATTACAGAAATTAAAATGTCTTACACCATGGTGTCAAAACAATCTTGACTTCCTATGAGTGGTAGAGAAAATAATTTGCTAGTAACTTCAGCTGATGTTCTAGCTAATATACCTATGAGTAAAGTCACCTAGTATTTAAGTGAAAATAATAGTTACATGATTTGGAATCAGAAAGAATCTTAGTGACTATTCCTTACAATAAAGAAATGGGACTCTCATTCAAACATTGAATATAATAGGCTTTGGAGGAAAAAAAACAGGTCTCCAAAGTGCAAATCTATACTTTTTCTATCATACCATGTTGCCTTTTTACAGTTATTGTGGCTACTAGAAAGCCCATTACTTGTAAAATAACAACATGCTCATTGGTCAGATAATGCTATTGTTAACTGTCTACTAATCATCCTGACTGAGAAAAGTGATACTTACAGAAGATTGTTTGAAGGTTAAACAGTCCATCCACTTCTCTAAGTACTCTAAAGTCTTTTCTTGGAATAAATTGGGCCATGAGAAAGCTATATACTTGGACCATATTAGCTTAGCTCCTTGAAGAATTGCTTTCACTGAGTTGTATGTTAATGTAATGCCTTCAGCTTTTATTGAAGGGGACTACAAGAAACATCAATATGAAATCCATTATTGCGTTTATTGGGAAAAATTTGACATCACTTGCTACAGTACCCAGCTTCCCCTAATTTAAAAAAATGCCAACATGATATTTTGTTTTTTCAAAGGCAGTTTCAGTGTAAGGAAAAGTTTTTCTCTGAGAAAAAATGTGTATATCCAAAGAAAAATAATTCTTCCCTCCCCCAAGGGGTTACTTTGGTCACCAAGAAGACAAGAATTTGAAGCTCAACTACTATTGCTACCAACTGCAGCTAATGTGCTGGCCCAAAGATAAATGTATTTGAGTCTATTTTCTTTTATCTTTATTTTCTAATTTTATTTCTATTTTATTTAATCATAATTTAAGTGCATGCATTCTTTTGATAAACTACCTAAAATACTTTTGGAACAAGTCAGGATATTATAAATGCAAATAATTAAATAAATACACTTGAAAATGTGATGTTTTCTATGAATTAAGTAAAATGACTCACAAAATAATGGCACATTCCATAACAGTTTGGATATTTTGTTGCTATGTCTATGTTTTGAGTAATTTATTATTTGGTGTTTTCTATACTTTTCTTAGCCAGTTAGGACTCAGTGATTTAGATTTAGAATTGAAAACCATCTCAAGGAATTAAAGTAAATATATTTTTTAACTACTCAGTAAGCTATGTACTAAATGCTGTGCTAAGTAGCAACATATACAGTGATAAATAAGGCAAAATATTGCCCACTCAGATCCTTTAAACTAGTGTAAGAAACAGATTTATTTACAGTAAAACTGTAATGTATTGAGATATTATAAAAATAATTTGTACCACATGGTGTCAAAATACAATATGGGAGTCAAGAGAAGTCAGAAACATTAGTCTGGAAAGTTTTTGTATTATGTAAAATCAGATTGATCTTAAAAAAATAGGAATTTGTCAGTTAGCAGAAGAAGAAGAAATATTATTGCAAGAAGGGCAGTAGGTCTTATGCTATGGAACTGTGCAGAGGCATAGATATTTGGAGAAATGAAGAATATGATTATGAAACTTAGATCTATCTTAAGTCCTATGAGATGTGTGATTCAGACCAGGTTACTTTATCAACCAATTCTCATTTCTAAAATAGAGATATTCCCAGACATATAGAAGTACACAATAACAAAAAATTTTTCCTTATTATTCATCATATAAGCAAATACAAGAGAAACTATACACTTGGACTATATTAGTTTAGCTCTTTGAATATTTGCCTTTAATAATTCATTAAAGAACTGAAGAGTGATCTATGTTTTAGAATAACTCTGACTGTCATAATGCAGAGATAGATAAGAAAAAGACATGATTAGAGTCAGAGAGGTTTAAAAAACTGTAAAAATTATGAGAGATGGTGGAGATATGGTCTAAGATATGTAGGAAGAATAATGGACAATATTTAATGGCTGACTAGATATTGAAAGATACTTCCAAGTTGTTGGCTTATAAGATTAGGTTGTGACATTAACTGAGGTACCAATTACTGATGAATAACTGGGTGTGGGCAGTGAACAGATATGACATCCATTTAGGAGAACTGTATTGTTCTTTGCTTGTCTGTTATTTCTTTAATCCTTTATAAAACAGATATTGTCATATTCAGGCTGAGATTGAGAATGAGATATTATTTTCAGGTAAAAATGTTCCAGGAACAGGTTAGATAAATGAAGTTAAAAGGTACAGTATACTTACTGATAACAACCTTGAATAGTAAAATAAAAGCATGGGTTTTGAATTTTAATTTTGTAATACCTCATTAACTCATACCATATATACTGAGCACCTAATACATGAAAGGGCCCATACAAAATGCCTTGGACATTTATTACAAAAGAAGGGATTTATTAAACAAATATGGTAATTGTTATAATCAGTGAGGGAGTTGAAACAGAAACATGCAATATACAACTGCAATGCGGGCTCTAATGCAAAAGAGCAGAATTCTGTACCCACTTATAATTGAGACCTAATCATTTGTAAGGGCAGAGGGGGGCTCAAAATTTTCCTGATGAATAGATATTCGTGCTGAGGATGGTAAATGGGGGGACAGTATGCTTAGTGTTGCAGAAATTCATGCAAACATTGTCAGTAAAACCCTTAAAGTGAGAATCACACAGTGAATACTGAAAACAAAAACTGCATTAAAGAAAGTAGAATTGACTGTCTTTAGGGATAAACAAGAACAGATGCCAGGGAAGCTGGGTCCACTCTGAACTCTGGCAGAGAATCAAAAAACATAAAATGAATACTGGCAGCTGCCAGGATGTGAGCAAAGAAAGCTGATACTCTGAAGCTTGATTTCAGAAAGAAAAGAGGAGAAAAAGTTGCTGAGCTGGTTCTGAAGAATGATGCTGGAGCATAACAGTAAAAAGATTTAATGGGGATTCCTTGAGAAAAATAGAAAAATATCAGATCTTAAAATATAAGGTTATTTGTCCCCTTCAGTTACAATATAGTAAGTGAAAAAAAAATTAGATTATAGTGGCTCGGGATTAAGTCGAAAGGGATAAGATAACATGTTTTTTAAAAGTTTGAATATAGAACAGAGGGTAGAATCTGAGGATATGGAAAGAAAGTAGCATAGGATTGGAAAAAGTTTTGCTCTTAGTAAATTAAGCATATTAAGCATTTTCCTAAGCTGAAAGAAAGGAGGCAGTTGAAAATAATAAGATCGCTTTTAGACATAAAATAAGAAAGAGTAACTAATGAGAAGGTTTGAGAAAGCAACAAGAATAAAAGAGATCAAATCAAGAGGCAGGGTGAAAGAATTTGTATTGACCAGAAAGAGAAAAGGAGGAACACTGAATATGAAGAAAAGTTCCCTAAGAGCCTGGTGTTGCATAAATAGATACTTTTGTATATGGAAAGGCATAAAAATTTGGAGTTGGATAATCTGATCCAGTATTGCATTTTTCTAATAATAAGGTTTCCTTGCCTAATTTCACAACTGATGCTAAAAGTAGTGCAAGTCCTGCCCAAGCTCACAGAGCCAGGTAGCTTTGCCTTTTAATATAGGGCTCAAAAGTAGCTCGAATGTAAATGAGAGTATTTATTTATTTATTTGTAAAAACTAAATTTAAGTATCAGTGCACATTCTAAATCTAATATGTTGACTGTGTAATTCTAACTAATAGGTTAAAGACCTATGTCTTTTTCTTAAAACATACGATATCAATAAATAGCTGAATCATTATTCTTATGGAGCAAATTGATGCTTGGTATTTTATGAATTTTCAAATAACTTTTCATGTGCTCATTTGATTGATAAATAGCTACATTTGCTCATGTTTAATAATGGCAAAACAAAAGGCCTTCCATAAGCCTGGTTAATCAGAAAGGACACCAAAAACAGCCTGTGAACAAAAAATTTCTATAAAAAGAAAATTATAATTTTCTGCTTAAAATTAAGTCTAAGAAATATTAAGGTAAAAGTATATTACACTAAAATATCTTTTAGACAGATAGGCTACTTTAAGCACTGTTCTTGATTTCCTTTTAGTTTTAAGGTGTTTTTAGTTCTTATACCTAAGATAATTTATGAAACAACTCTCAAAACTCATCTGAATCATGAAATTGGATAGCGTACCCATTGGTAAATTTATTACAAGCTTTTTAAAAAGCTTTCCATGAAGGCAAAGAAGTTTTCCCACTGGTATTACATTTTCAGATTTAAGATCAGACACTCATTTATTCTTTCATACAATAAATATTTCTAAAATGCCTGCTAAGGACCAGGCACTGTGCTGGACACTCTAGCTATGAAAAAGTATATGAGAACAAGCAATGTCTGATATATCGTTCTCCTGAACTAAACCAAAAGAACTAAAATAACATACACAATGTTAGCTCTTTCCCTGAAAATTAGGTTGGGATCTCAGTGATTTTGACAGAAATTTATCCTGGCCATGTGTAATTTGGCATATGGGTAAACTTAAATCCCACTATCCATGAGTAGTAAGTTATTGCTTTTATGAAATATTATCAATTATTTGTTTTTCACATTTAGAGGTGCTTCTGTTTTCCAAGGTCAAGAGCTGAGAAGGCATATCATTTCATAATGTCAATTTGGCATGCTCTAATATTAAAATAATAATCAATAAATTTATATATAGGAATTCATGGCACAAAGCATTTATCTTTTGTGACTTATTTACAAATATGTAATATTTTATCCCTCCAAAATTAGTATGAAAGTGCATGTATAATCAATATAGCTTAAAAAATAATTGCATAGATACCATGAAAAAACAGTACACTATATGGGCAACGAAAACATAAATCAACATTAAAATGTAATAGAAATGCTGAAATAGCCCAAAAGATAAGCATATAAAATGGATCAGATTCCTTTTCATATTTATTTGTTGGCTCTGTTAGTAGGGAAAACACAACTTATAAAATTAAATGAACCATCAGTCTTGTTAAAATTTCTATGGCTCACAAAATTAAGGAAAAATAGCAAGATTTTAAACTATAACATTTATGGCTTGTATGTTTAAACTATGATCGTCACAGAAATGAAAAATATTATATTCAAATACCTGAGAAAAAAATCAAGTCTGCAAGTAAGTTATTCCAAATGTAATAAAAGAAGCATTTAGGTGAATACAATGTTAAAGAAATTTTCTGAATACAACATTTTACTAATAAGAATATAGATCACTATGAAACATTCAGACTCCTCTTAAGGCAGATAAATAATCTATAGCATATGAAAGGAAGCAGCTGTTACATTAATCCACAAATCTCCCATTAGATTCAGTACTTGAAACCTAAAAATGGACAGCAATAACCTCAAAAGAAGTTAATCGTAAAAACAATTAACTTTTCCCTTTTAGACTGTATGAGCAACATAAAATTCTTAGGCATTTCAGCACCCACAAATTTATTCCATACAATAATGGAGAGATAAAAAATGCTATATGGCCTTTTACAATCAATCAACAGAGATTGGAACAGGTGAAGAGAATTCAAATCATTGCTAGAGCCTGGAATTCTATTATAGGTAAAATAAATGCCCATTTTCTTTTTCCAATCTCTTTGTAATAATGTAGTGTGGTGCTAAAACTATAAACTCAATCAACAGACAGACAGATCTGGGTTCAAGTAGACTTACTAACAAGTTGTGTGAGCTTGGGCAAGTAAATAACTTTACTGTTTTGCTTATTCATCAGTAAAAATGAGAATTAAGAAGACAGTCTAGTAATAAGGATGCTATAAAGATTTTGTGAGAGAGTATACGTAAAACACTTAGCACAGTGCCTGACACATAGAACTCAACAGATGTTACAGTGTGGTGTTAACGGAAGTATTACTACTACAAGCACTCCTAAAGGGTTTCAGGCAAGAACACTTTAAAAGAAATTGACATGATTTTAGCTCATATATAGATAGATAGATGTCTTTAATCTCAGTTTTTAGAAACATATCTGTTACAAGCTGAATTCGTTTTCTTAATAATGATAACATGGAAGTTCTCACTTACCTTGTCATTGACTACACTCTTCCCATCCCAAGCCCATCCTCTTTTGGTGAAGTAATTAACAGTTGCAAACTCAATTAGGGCAGAGAACACAAATGCATAACAAACAGCAATAAACCAGTCCATGGCAGTTGCATAAGCCACTTTGGGGAGAGAATTCCGAGCACTGATGCTTAGAGTTGTCATTGTTAGGACGGTTGTTACTCCTGCAAAAGAAAACGTGGGAACTGAAAACATCAATAGGCACTAGCAGGACAGCATGAGAAGTAGTTTTTCTTCTCCCTCTATATATTTTTGCTACTTTTATCCACTAATAAATAATAAATAAATCAATAAATACTAGAATACAGTGTAAAGTCAATTATTTTAAATGGTTATTATATTTCTTGAAGTAACGACTCTGAAAATGCTTTTGGTTTTCATTTTTGTATTTAAAAAAATCCCTTTTCCTCTAAGTACTAATGAGGTTAAAATGGGGATACTGATGTAGAATTACCTTGAAGGAAAAGCAGGCATGTTAAATGGGCTCATTGCCAATCAACATTAATTTTTTTTATTATTATAAAAGCTTCACATTAATTTGTTCATCATGTATTTGAATCATGTTAGGCAATGGACCAATAATCCACAGAAGTGATCACGAAGAAACTGGGATTTAAAAATACTTCAAGCATGACTACTTAAGTGTGAAATTAATTCTAGATTATCAGGACATTATGAGGACATAATTATCTTTTATAACATAACTCAGAATCTTTAAAATATAAAGCAAGCCACTAAAAACAAAACTTTCTAAAATATAATTCATTATTTCATAATTTTCTTTGTTTAAAAAGAATGTATTTCTTTTCCTTTTAATATATAGCTTTTCTGACTGGTAAGGGAAGTCACAATTGTTAAGAGAAAAGAAGGTAAATTGCATTATAAGCCCCCAAAATGGCTGCAATAAGCTGCTTTATCTGGAATCCAATATAAGTTTAATTACGTGCACTGGAAGTACATTAAATTAAAAGAAAATATGAAAATGTTAAAGAAATGTTCATTCATATTTGAGGATTCTTTGTATTTTATTTTCCTTTAGGATGAATCAGTATTTTTATTCATTAAATCAGTATTTTTATTCATTTAGAATGCAGTTAGTAATTTAAAACATCAATAATTCTAGTAAATCATGAGTGAATGCCTCTAAAAATACCATATGATAATAATGGTAAAAATGAAAGCAAAAATGAAAGTTATTAAAATCAGCATTTACAGAAACATATTGTGTTTGCACGAGCTAAGTTGTGAAAGGTTTTAAACTGATATGTTGCTCTTTGTTGAGATTTTTGTACAAAAGAGTAGAATATAAGACAGATATACATATATACATACATATATATATACATATATATATATATACACACACACACACAATATAGAAAATGAAAATAACAAATCAACAACAGCAGTAAAGAAATACAAACCAAACAATAATACACATTTTAAAAGCAATAGTATCATCAAAATGTTACCAAAACTTTAAAAATTTGATACTCTCCTTGTATTTAGGATGATATGGGGTATTACAAATTGGTGTCATAGCTACGAAACTGTTGTCTAATCGAAGATCATGAAGATTTAGGCTTATTTTTTTTATGAGTTTTACAGTTTGAGGTACTACTAGTGTGCCTTTAGTTCATTTTTGTGTGAGGGTGTAAGTTAGACATCCAAACTCATCCTTTTGCACCTAGATAGCCAGTTGTCCCAGCACCATTTGTTAAAAAGACTTTTGTTTCCCCATTAAATTATATTGCACACTTTGTTGAGAGCCAATTGACCATAGATATGTGGTTCAATCTCTGTACTCCAAATTTTACACCATTGATCTACATATTTATCCTTAGTCAAGTTTCACAGTTTTGATGACTATAGCTTTAGAGTGACTTTTGAAGTCAAGAAGCGTGAGTCTCTTCTTATTCTTGTTTATTATTCTTAGTCTTTTTCAAGATGGTTTTGGCTATTCAGGGTCCCTTACATTTCCATATGTTTTATGGTCATTTTGCTCATTTTTGCAAAAGAAATAATTGGAATTTTGATAGGTATTTCATTGAATCTGCACGTGCTATTTGGTAGTAATGTCATTTTAATCATATTAAGGCTTTCAATCTTTGGACATACGATATATTTCCACAAGCGTGCTCTCTCTCTCTCTCTATCTATCTATCTCTATCTCTTTCTCCACCCGCCCCCCCTCCCCATTTCTCTCTTTCTCTCACATAAACATTTCCATTTATTTAGGGTTTCTTTAATTTCATGCAGCAATATTCTATAGTTTTTGGTGTATACATCTTTCATCTTGGTTGCATTTATTTATAGATACTGTATTTGTTTGGATGTAATATCAATGGATTGATTTTCTTAACTTCCTGTTCAGATTGTTCATTGTTTTTGTACAAAAACACAACTGACTTTTTGTATGTTGGTTTTGTAGCCTAAATCTTTGCTGAATTTGTTTAATAGATGTAACAATTTTGATGTGGTTTATTAAGGGTCTTCTATAAATAAGATCGTGTCATCTGCAAATAGAATTTTACTTCTTCCTTTCCAATTTGTATATTTTTATTTTTATTGCCTAATTGCCCTAGCTAGAAACTGTAGTATAATGTTGTATAGAATTGGTGAGAGCAGACATCTGTGTCTTATTTCTGATGTTAGTGAGAAAGTTTAATCCTTCACCTATGAGTTTGCATTTTTATTTTTTTCCTTTTCCATAAATATGTTGTATTATATTTGTTTGATTTTTTTATGCTGAACCAACCTTGCATTTCTGGAATAAATCCCACTTTATCATGTAGCTGATTTTACTTTGCAATTATTTTATTGAGGGCATCTGATCTATATCTGTAAGGAATATGGATCTCTAGGTTTTTATTGTGATTTGTTTCTCTATTTTGGTATCTTGGTAATAAAGCCTTATAGAATGAGTCAGGAAATGTTTCCTTCTCATCTATTTTTTGGAAGATTTTGAGAAAGATTTTTGTTAATTCTTTATATGTTTGGTAGAATTCACCAGTAAAGCCATTTGCCCTTGAGGTTTTCTTATTGAACGTTTTTTTTGTTTACTAAGTTCATAGCTTTATTTATTATAGGTTTATTCAGAAATTTGAGTCAATTTTGGTCATTTGTTATTTCTAGGAATTGTTGTATTTAATTAGATTATCTAAATTTTTGACATAACAATTGTTCTCAGAGTTATTTTATACACACACACACAATTTATGTCTTCCTAATGTGTGTGTGTACGTATATATTTTACCCAGGCTGAAGTACAGTAGTATGATCTTAGTTCGGGGGAACCACCTCCTGGGTTCAAATAATTCTTGTGCCTCAGACTCCCGAGTAGTTGGGTATACAGGAGCACAATACTATGCTCAGCTAATTTTTGTATTTTTAGTAGAGACAGGGTTTTGTCATATTTGCCTGACAGGTCTCGAACTCCTGGCCTCAAGTGAGTGATCTGCCCACCTAGACCTACCAAAGTGCTGGGATTATAGGCATGAGCCTGGTCACTATATGTATATTCTCTAACTGATACATATATAGAATTACATATATTCTCTAACAGATACATATACAGAATTACATATATATACACACACACATATATACACACATATATACATATATATATATAATTTATCTATGTTCAGAAGTGATATTCCATCTGCTTTCCTGATTTTAGCAATTTGATTTTTTTCTCTTTTTTCTCTTGGTCATTGTAGCTAAAAGTAAGTCAATATTATTGATCTGTTAAAAAACCAACTTACAGTTGTGTGGTAATTTTTTCTACTGTTATTTCTATTTTCTCTACAATTTATCTCTAACACTTATTTTTCTTCCTCTTGCTTTGGGTTTAGTTTTCTCTTTTCTACTTTTCAAGAAAGATGGCTAAGTTTTTGATTTGAGAATTATTTTTTCTCTTTTTAACATAAGTGGTTAGGGATACAAATTTCTCTTTAAGAACCGCCTTTTGTTATTTTCCATAAGTTACATTATTTTTTCTTCTCATATATATTAAAGTATTTTCTAATACCTCTTGTGATTTCTTCTTTGATTCCATGGTAATTTAGAAATGTCCTGTCTAACGTTTACATATTTGTACATTTTCTAAATTTTCTTCTTTATTGATTTATAATTCTATTCCATTGTAGTGTTAAGAACATACTTTGTAATAATTCAGTCTTTGAATTTATTGAGACTTGGTTAATGGTCTAATGCATTATCTTCCCAGAGAACATTCCATGTCCATTTGAGGAATATGTGCATTCTGCTTTTTATGGGTGGAGTATGTTAGGTCTAGTTGGTATATTCTTTATTCATATCTTCTAATTTTTGCTGATCTTTAGTTATATTCTTCTTTTTTAAAAATTTGAGATGGAGTCTTGCTCTGACACCCAAGCTGAAGTGCAGTAGTGCGATCTCAGCTAACTGCAACCTCAACCTAGAAGATTCAGTAATTCTCCTGCCTCAATCTTCTGAGGAGCTGGGATTACAGGTGCTGACCACCATGCCCAGCTATTTTTTTCCATTTTTTTTTTTTTGTATTTTTTAATAGAGACAGGGTTTCACCATGCTCACCAGGATGCTCATGAACTGCTGACCTCAGGTGATCCACTGCCTCAACCTCCAAACTGCTGGGATTACAGGTGTGAGCCATCATGCCAGGCCTAGTTACATTCATTTTTTTTTTTAAGATGGGACACTGAACTCTTCAACTAATATTTTTGAACCATTAATTTCTCCCTTCAATTTTTTCACTCTATAATTCACATATTTTTGAAATCTTTTATTACGTGTGTATAGTTACAATGTTTACATATTCTTGATGAATTGATTCTTTTGTCATTATATAATGTTTATAATTTTTATATATTTTTGATGAATTCACTCTTTTGTCATTATATTATGTCATTTGTCTTCTGAAGCCTTAATTTCTTATTATTTATCCTGTCTGTTATAAATGTAGCCAATCTAGATCTCTTTGGCTGTTGTTTGTGTAGAATATGCTTTTCCATCCTTTTACATTCAATTAATCTGTGTTTTAGAATCTAAAGGGATTTTCTTGTAAACAACATAAAGTTGAATCATATTTTTTGGATTTTTATTCATTAAGTGAATCTATAACTTTAGCTAGTGAGTTTAATCAATTCATATATAATATAAT